TCTCTCTACAAGGAGTATGCCACTGATAGATGTCCTGATTTCAAGGACTATCCCTGGCCGGAGAAGAATGAGGTCGTGGCTGAGGAAGTGAAGGAGATACGGGACATGGTGAACGGATTGACGAGACAGGTTACAGAGATTGTGACCACAACAGGGGCCACGACCTACCGGGACAAACCTGGAGGGCCCTATTCACTTCGCTGGGAAAGTAGGAACAACGATTCCTGGTGGAGTGTCGAGGATAGAAATCCTCAGACGCTGACTGATTATAGTACGAGGGGAAGAGAGAGAGACGATGAGCCATGGCGATGTAGGGACGATGAGATAGACCGAGACCGCAGAGATCGCTAGCCGTTTGCGTGAGCAAGGAGGCTGGATGATTACCCGCGAAGCCCTCGCTATGAGGCCAATCGGGGTAGAGGCGACTCCCGCGGCCGATGGGAGACAGATCAGGGCCGACGGGATGGATATAGGGACGACAGATACGAGAGATCGGACCGAGACGGGTATAGGGACGACAGATACGAGAGGTCGGGTCGAGATGGCTACAGCGGAAGTAGGTATGAAAGAGGAGATCATGATTAAGAACGACGAGATGGGTCGCGCGGACGGTTTGAGCGCGAGGGAGAACAGCGCGATGAGTCTTAGGGGTGGTACAACCGAGGGGACCGACGCGATGAGACACGAGGGCGATATGACTCAGGGGACCGCCGGGATAATTCGCGAAGGCAGTATGAGCAAGGAGGGTCTTGAGGAGACCGCCGCAACGATTCGCGCGGCCGAAATGAGAGAGGGGGATATGGCGTCTCATCAGAACCATATCCCAAGTCGCCTGACCCCAAGGTAGCCAGCGGTTCGATCTCGAGGAGTGCAGACGACAAACCATCTACTCCCACGAACTCATGCGTTTACTGTAGAAGAGAAGATCATATCAAGAGGGATTGCCCGGACCTCAAACGGACAATAAATGAGGGACTTGTCGTGCTTGACGACTGCAAGTACGTCAAGTGGGCAGATGGTCTGGGAGATGTATCGATGTTCCCTCCGATGAAGGAGAATGTCGAAGCAAGGAGAGTAAAGCCGAGTAAAGAAAAGGGGCCGGTCAGGAGCTAGAGCATCAAGATAACCTTCGAGGAGGATATAGCGACCACAACCATAAGGGTGGCAGCCACCAAGTCGGCGAGAGGGTCTACATCGRAGAAGACTGACACGGATTACATGATGACGGAGAAGGACGGGCAGCGGGTCGATGGAGAGGAGGTTATCCTTTCGCCGCGAAGGAGGGGAGTGAAGAAGTTCTTAATGAAGAGTTCGCTAGACGAGATTGACACGGTCGAGCCACTGAGGCGGGCCCTTCGGCAACCCATGCAGTGCTCTATTCTGGAGTACCTGGCGGCATCGAAGCCGACTCGTGATGAGTTACAGATGATCACGCGGAATACTCGCATACCTCTATGTGAGGAGGGCCAGGGGCCCCTAAGGCGGAAGCTCCTACAGTAGCAGTAACGAGGGTGACTGCCAGAGCAGATCGGATGGCGACAGTCCTTCTCGATGGAATGGAAGGTGTGCATCTTGACAAGTTTTTATATACTTGGTAGCTGGGCCGTGGAGACGATTATAAACGATGGAGCGATACTCGATGCTGTGATCGATAACGACAGTAAGGCTTTCATCATAGACGAGGACCTGGCAGTACAGGTTGGACTGGGCCTCGATAGGTCATACCTATTCGAGATAGAGACGGCAGATGGGAGAAAGCAACAGATCACTGGGGTTTGTCACAAGGCAGCCATAGAGGTCCAAGGGGTACGAGTGACCCTGCCTGTCTTGACAGTCAAGAACTGCAGCTCCGACCTGCTCTTGGGACAAACGTGGCTGAGCCACGTGCATGCGGTAACGATAGAGCGACCTGATGGGAGCCAAACATTGTCCATTAGGAAGCCAAACGGGATGCGGATAATGATTGAGACAGTGGAGCCTCGGGACCCGAGGAACAGAGCGGCTCTCGCTGTGGGTGCGAGACCAAGTGAACAGATTAAGTCGTTACCTATCTCCGGCCGCGCGGTGCGATTTCGCGAGAAGAAATATGGACCACTGCTCACAGAGGAAAAAGGTCGGATCGTGGAGGTGGAAGATTTAGGGAGTCGGCTAATAGTGGACGGCAACTCGTACCCAAAGGAAAAAGATGAGGAATTTGGCGATGTGGTATCCGTGTCTTTCTTAAGGGCACGGCCCCCTATGGGGGGCCACCCAAGCGACACAAGCGAGTAGCTCAGAAAGTTAAGTCAGCGGCGGTGGGCCGCGAGCGATCTGCACTGGAAGGGATATCCGAAGAAGAGATCGCGAAAGAAATCAAAGAAAGAAAGGAAAAGGAGCCACAACGCCTAACGGAAGAGAGGATAGCAGGGATGGACATCGGAGATGAAAATCTGACTGCACAGGAGCGAGAACGTGTGATAGAAATTCTGAAGACATGTGATAAGGCAATAGCTTTCAGCGACGTGCAGCGCGGTAGGATTGACCCTCGATACGCTAAGCCAGCGAGGATTTACACGATTCCACATGTTCCTTGGAATGACGCAGGATGGAAATACGCCCAGAAGGAGAAGGAAGAAGTTATCGCTTTCCTGAAAGAAAAGATGGTTTCCCACGTTGCGCAGCCGTCTGATAGCGCTTATGCTAATCGATGGTTCTTCCTACGAAAGCCGAATGGCAAGATCCGATGGATCCAGGACCTTCTGAAGGTCAACGCGGTGACGATACGAGACGTGGGCTCTGTGCCACACTCCGATTTACTGGCAGAAGGCGCCGCAGGTAGGTCGATTTATTCGGTCTGTGATCTGTTCTCAGGTTATGATGAGGTACCGCTTGACCCTAGGGACAGGCACCTCACGGCTATGCATACGCCATTGGGACTAATACAAATGATGGTTGTCCCTATGGGTTGGACTAATGGGGTAGCCGTTTTTCAGAGAGCCATGGTAGCCGTCCTCAAGGACTTCATCCCTGATAAGGTTGAAGTTTTTCTGGATGACTTTCCTATAAAAGGGCTAGTACACAGAATGAGACAGAGGTTGTACCTGGAGTTAGAAGATTCGTCGAGCAGCACCTAACAGATATTTGCGCGGTACTCGAGCAGTTGGACGATGCGAATTTAACAGTCAGCGGAACAAAGAGCCGATGGGCCGTCTCGACTATTAAGATCTTGGGCTTTATATGTGACTCGAGAGGACGCCGAGCAGATCCGGCGAAGTTAGACAGACTTCTGAACTAACCCTCACCGTTACGTAGTCCAACCGAGGTCCGACAGTTTCTAGGAGTGGTCGGTTACTGGCGTATATTCATACGGGGGTATGGGGAGAAGGCTGAGCCATTGAGGTTACTCCTTCGAAAGACTGAAAAATTCTACTGGGATTCTTCGCAGGAACTCGCTATGCAAGAACTTAAAGACGAATTTAAGGAGGGAGGACGCGTGTTGGGCGTGCCGTTCTTTGACGATGAGACCGAGAGACCCTTCATAGTATCCACTGATGCTGGACCATATTCAGTAGGTGGTTAGCTGTCTCAGAAGGACGCTGGAGGGAAGGAAGGACCGTTAAGATTTGAGAGTATGACACTTAATACGGCTGAGCGCAACTACAGTCAATTCAAGAAGGAAGTGTTAGCTAATACGGCTGAGCGTAACTACAGTCAATTCAAGAAGGAAATGTTAGCTGTTCTTCGGTGTGTAGACACGTTCATACACTATATCTATGGGCGACGGTTCATCTTGAGAGTAGACCCCACCGCGGTTGCCTCTGTCCTCCAGAAGGACTTTAGTCTGACGGACCCGACCATCGTCCGATGGTTAATACGGATTCGGCTATACGATTACACGGTTGAGAGGATATCTGGCACTAAAAATGCTGTGGCATATGGACTTTCGCGCATCCCTCTTGAGGCCGAGCGCCCGATAGTAGTTGGGGCCCTGACTATGACGGAGCCAGGACCCACCGAGCGTTTTCTGGTTAACCTTTACGAGGGAAAATACCGAATGATCGGGCTACATTTGTCAGGAAAGGAGAGTCAAGAATCAGATATCCGGAGACAAGCGGCCCAGTAGGGTCAATAAATAGTGTTGACAAAGTTGATATGCCTCTCGTTTCTCACTCACGGAAGCTCAAATTGACTCACAACGGACGACGTGGATCTCGTACCGTTGTAGACTTCCACTTGGACCGAATGTTGTCAGGATACCTGCATACAACCAAGTGTGTATGTCTTATCGGTGGTCTGGGTTGAGTCTGTGAAGACTTTGACTCGTGGGCCTCAAGATCCTGATAGGCAATTGACTTCGGTCAACTGTCGGATGCAGGGCTTCGGAAGCCACATTTCAAGGGTTCTTGGCCCTTAGTCGGACACAGGGCGTGAGGGTCATGTTGTAGTCTGTGGGTGACCCTTAGACGATGACATAGGCATATTTGAGCGAATATTACGACCCTGCCGGCCCAATTTTTGAGTTTCATCGCAGAAATACTTAATTTTCTCTTAATGCATTCTCATACGTATATACGATATCAGCAGCAGTAGGCAAAAGTTCTTTCTTGCTGAACCATCTAGCTTGAGATGGAGGTTGAGACATAAACTTTACCGTGAACTACTTTTGTGGTATTCCTGCCACCTGTAGAAAATTATCCATGTTCAAGTATTTTCTCAACTTTATAGTCACCGTCCATTTAGGAAACATGTATGGTCTGTTGGAAAAATCATGTCCTTCTACATATGGCAGTAGTTTAAACGCATGAAAAATAAGATAGGTCTTGAGCTATGGCGGTACATCTATTATATAGGAGGGTCCATCAATATCTCCTATTACTTGAAGAACTTTCCAGAGTCCATAGTAGACATGTAACAACTTCTGTGATACACTTTCTTCAAATGAAAATTCATTACCCAAACAAGATCTCTTTCTTTGAATGTTGATGACCGACAATGTTTTGTTAGCTTCTTCAATCATTTGTAGTTGGGTTTTCTTAATACTTTCTTTGATTTTCGTTATATCTTCTCCATACAGAACTGCAAACCCTCGTGTTCCTGGGGTTAGCCGTTGAACTCGGTCCCGGGTTAGTGTATCAATAAGAAGTCGCGACTTTCTTCGTTTGTGGAGTGTGTTCGGTGTTCTGTCAGTTACGATGTTGACACTGTTATTGTATACACTTGTCATCTTAGGCAAGTTCTCATCCGAATCAATTTGATATGATCTTACATGCATGAGCAAAAGTTGTTCGCAAAAACGGTTCATCTGTTTTGTTTGTCCACTCGTGTAAGGATGTCTTTTTGACGACATGGTCAATCGGGCGTCGTATGACCGCATAAAATTTTGCTATTGTTGGTCAGTGAACCGTACATCCCGATGGTTTTTTGAAATCCATATTTCAAAACCCATCACATCTGGAACTTCTGGATGACGAGTTTTGTTCTTGCTTCGCCAGGTAAAGGAATGAACATAACATATTTAGAGAATCGATCAACAATGATCATTTACTAACTGTTGCCATTTCGACTCTTAGTGAGACTCATGAAGTCAATCAGGATAAACTCACCTATGTCACTTGGAATAGGTAGTGATCTCAATAGTTCCGGTGGATTTTCATGCAAGGGTTTGTTGCTTTGGCAAATAAGACAAATTCGCAGATAGGTTAGCATATCCTCATTCATTCCTTTCCATTCAAAGCGTTCTCTAGCATCAACATACGTCTTCTTAAAACTGAAGTATCTTTAAATATCATGACATTCCCCGATAATCATACTGTTGATTTGTTCTTTATGTGGAATGCATAATCTTTCTTCAATTTTGTCAATGAAAAAGAGTAAGCCAGTAAACATTCGATACTCAGGGAATAGTTCATGGTTCCTTTGTAAGGTTTCAATAATCGGACTCCCAATTGGATCGTCGGTGTAACCCTTACGAATCTGGTCTTTCAGATCATTACCAATATCGAGATAAGAGACAATAGTTTCAAAGAAATCATATCTTATATACAAAACATCTGCAACAATGTTAGACTTTCCTTTAATAGTTTTCAATTCAAAGTCAAACGTATCAATGAATGCAGACCATCTAACTAACTTGTCGGAGAGTCGGGGTTGAGTTTTTATCCACTTCAGAGTAGAGTGGTCTGCGTACACAGTAAAGTGTCTCCTGAGCAAGTAGTGTCTCCATCTGTCCACAGCTGCGATTAAAGCATACAATTCTCTTTCGTAAGTTGAGTTAGCTACCTTATCTGATGGTAGACGACTGTATATAAACTCGATGTGTTTAAATCCCTTGCCATCATCTTGTTTTAGCACTGCCTGAATTTCATACTGGCTTGCGTGAGTAATGACAATGAAAAGGGGAGAAGGATCAACAATTTTCAAGACCGGATATTGAGTTAGTGCATGTTTAAGTTTCTTAAATTCAAACTCACAGTCTTTGCATCATAACCAAGGTTTTTCTTTCTTCATAAGTCTTCTCTAGGTGAAACTATCAGTGAAAAGTTTTTTATGAACTTCCCATAGTAACTAGCAAGTCCTTGAAAAGATCTGAATTCAGTGACAGTCTTGGGTGTGGGCCAATTGCCTTGAAAATATCCGAGTTTAGTGACAGTCTTGAGTATGGACTAATCCCGAATTGTCGTTACTTTCTTCTATTTGGGTTGAAATCCCTCTTCGTTCGCTATGTGTCCAAGGTATAGTACCTCAGATTTAGCAAACTCAGATTTCTTAGGATTTAGATTGTTGTTGCTTTCTCTCAACTTCTGTAGAACCATTCGTAGATGTTTCTCGTGATCCTCGAGTATCTTACTATACACGAGGATATCGTCGAGATATACAACTACGAACTGATCAAGCCATTAACGAAACATTTCATTCATAGATCTTTGGAAAGTAGCGGGTGCATTAGTCAATCCGAAGGGCAGAACCACAAACTCGTAGTCACCATACCTGGTCCGGAAGACTGTCTTATGTTGATCTTTAAGTGTCACCTCAATATGGTGGTATCCTGACTTTAGATCAGTCTTACTAAAGTACTTGCAACCCTGTAATTGATCAAACAATGTGTGGAAGAGGTTCCACATTCTTGACAGTGACAGAATTCAACCCACGATAATCAATAGAAAGTCTAAGTCCGCCTTCCTGTTTGGGCACGAACAAGACAGGAGCACCATAGGGAGAGGAACTAGGTCGAATTCATCCTTTCTCTGTAAGTTCTTGCAGTTGTTTGTTCAATTTTATGAATTCCCTATAAGACATTCGATAGATAGGTCCTTTGAGAATCTTACTTCCGAAAATGATCTCGATGGTGTGCTTTATAACACGTTCATTTATTCCTGTCAGTTCAGTCTGCAAGTCCTTAAACTCAGTTGAAAGTCTTTCTATAGGAGGATAGGATGAAGAATACCCACTGACTCACTTTACGAGTACCATCATTACGTCCTGTGCCAACTTGTTTTTTGTGACCATACTCCGAAAAGCAGGAAGACTCATACAACAGAAAAGCAGTAATGAGTCAGAACCAAACTTGTGAAACAATCTAATTATTTTCAGGTTGGAATTCTCAGCCTTGAGGCTTACAATCTTTTCTTTGAACTTGATTTATGGGTCGACTTCCTTATGCCAATCCATTCCCATAATCACATCGAAAGGTAGGTTTTTTTGTACAAGGAAGGTTACTTCATGCAATATTCGTTTGCCCTCCGTCGTTCGAAAATAACACTTAACACGACTGACGTATTGAGAGATAGTAATCGTGTTTTTATCTGCAAGCATAGACATGATAGGTTGAGGTACATCCTGCACACGCATTCCAAGATGTAATTTCTTAATTGCCTTTTCTGAGATGTAGAACCTCGTTGACCCAGAATCAAACAAAACACCTATCCGCGTACGTGCAATTTTGACATTGGTTTCTTAACCCACAAACTTCTTCATTCCCAAGTCCGTCAATGGTATCGCCCAGAGAGACAAAACACAAAACAATGATAGGGTGTTCTGAGCGACAGGCTGAAGAAGAGTCATTCTGTGCCATGTGAGTCGAGGGGTTAAAAGGGGTTATTTGTGCCTTACCTTCAACTGAACCCTCCAACAAAATCGGAGAAGATGGTACTCCTACTGGCTGCTCCCATTTTGGTTACGAATGAGTGGGCATGATGCAATAATATGGCCC